ATTAACTAAGGATTTTTTCGCCCTGCCAAGGTGTGGACCAGTTATCCGGAGTGCTAAGTTATCGAGGGACGAGTTTTCGAGGTTCTACTGTATTCCTAATCTGAAAATAAAATTATTTAAATTAATTTAATTTACTTCATTTGTATATAACTTATTGAATTATTATTCATACAATTTGTACGATTTAGAATGTTTAAAATAATGAAAGTCTTTACCAATCTACTGTATACACTTCGTGGCCAAAGCGTGGTACGCGAGCTACCATTTGCTCTCGAACGTTATGGACTCGTCCGCGCAACATGTCACAATTAAAAATGTTTTAACTCGGATGACATCACTGTACTTTACAAAAATGACAAAAATATGTTATAATAAATTAACTAGCTCATACTATATCAGTTTTCGTACAGTAAAGTGCCTTACTTAAACGATAACAATTAAAGTAGTAATACCGTCAACCGTATTTTAACAGGCATAAAGGCGCTTTTACTTTCGATCAACATGAAGTACAGCACCTTACTTATAAAATATATAACTGTAGTTTTCTTTATAAAGCTCTATATTATATGTGCTCGGGCAGTATATCAAGCCGATTATATAATAGGTAAGCTATTTCTATGGTATTATTTATAAATATTTTAATTCCCCTTCAAATAGAACACAGGGAAAGTATTGTAATCGGTGAAAATTTTACTGCTTTTCAGGTGGTTTTGCATCTCCATAAGTTTTAAGGTTTTGGCAGCAATCTTTCTGTATATGGGCATTGATGCCATTACATTTTGGAGATTATAAACCAATTGAAAAGGGGGATACAACAGGTTGAGTGTCATATCTCGTGTGGAGTCAGACTTAACTATTATTTTACACGTTATTAGCATTTACTCTTTTTTTCTAATTTTAAAAAAGAATAATTATTTCACTTTCTGGTCGTCTTAACGTCTTTTTGGAGTATCCAGAGAGTCGTTTAAGATTCTTTGCCATGTTTTTACTGTTGGCCTCTATTTTACTTAATATCTCAGGATGGAGTACAGAATAATTAAAGAAATTTGGCGTGGTAACTTGTATATAACGGAACATTAATGCTATGAAATGTTATAATTAAAGGTCGACGGGGTGGGGAGATAGAGGGAGTCGTGTGTCGGAATTAATAACGATTTTACTCGTTATTAACATTTACATTTTTTTTTTAAATGAAACTCATCCCTATCCTGAAAATTAAGCTTTTTGCTAATTTATAAGAATTAATTATATAAAAAATTTAAAATAAAATCTGATAATGGATGGCGCAACATGTATGGATGTCGTCACATTACTTTTCTTGTGGCAAATTAAACCAGAGGTGCTAAGACCGGGAACAAACGGCTTTTTCATCCAACGATTTAACCACGTGGCCAACCTATAGAACATAGAGACACAGTAAATTATTTGGTTTTAACAACTAACGCTGGCCACGTTGTTAACGCGGTTTTTATTAGTAATTTGTTCTAAATTCTGTTGACCATCTGTGGACGGCAACCGGAGCAAATATGGCGTACAAAATTTTGTTCGTAAACCGAATTGTTCCTAATCAGAAGCGTTCGGAATTCCAGGTTTTATTGTAATTGACTCTATCTATCCGGCAACTCTGACTGAAGAGGCGATGTTTGTATGTGTAGCGAAATATTGATAATATTCTTAGTATTAATACTTTCTATTATTCGAGCATTCGGGGATATTATTCGCCTATTTATAATATAAAGTTCTCATAGTGTTTCGAAACGCACTTACCAATGTCTTCCGCCATATTCAATTTATCTATTTACAAATTTAATGGGAATTATAAATTAAATTTAAAGAAAATATTAAAAATTTTTAAAATTGTCGAAAAGATCAGAACCACAGAATGCGCGCTTAGTCTTTAAATATGGTGGCAATTCTGGTAAGTTTTAGTCACTTTGGTTTCTATTTGTTTGTTTGTTTTGTTAAGTTATGGTCGACCTGCCTCCCGGGAGGTCTTTTAAAGGTAACTAGCCTCTATTCAGACGTTACAGACATGGAGAAAACCCGGAAAACTCTACATCTTGCCAAGGCACGAACCCACAACCAAACTCCCAGTGTTTAGGAAACGGAAACGAAACCGCTTGGCCACTGGTGGGCCAATTCTGTTTCAAATTACAGGAATATTTTCTTATTTATAGTTAATTTCTGCCTTCGGAAAACTTTGTGCTAATTTCACAAACATTTTACAGGTAATAAAGAACTTATTTGAATGACTTTCATAAACGAAACCTATTTATTATTACTTTGTTTTATTTTTAATCAAAATATAAAATAATTAATTAACTGACAAACGTATTGAAAATGTGCTAAAATCTCTTATATATTTGATTTTATTGGATAAAATACAATTTATATTATTCTATTACTATATGATTATACGCCGGCTATTTATTTATTGCAGTTGGCGCAGGAACAGCAGGATCAGTTTTAGCCAATAGACTTTCCGAACCACCGCATATTACAGTTCTTGTGTTAGAAGCAGGAGATGTGGCTCCTGTAAACTCTGAGGTTCCACTATATCCTCTAAATTTAGCTCTAACAAATTACAGTTGGCAATTTAAAAGTGTACCCAGTAAAACCATAGCTCAAGGTCTTAAAAACAGAGTAAGTAATTATTAATAATAAATTTCCATGGGTGCATTTACACCTGAATACTGATTCAAATTTATTCTCTTCCAGCAACTGTTAACTGTGGAAGGTAAAGCGCTTGGTGGAACCACAGTTTTAAATTATAATTTGTTTGTGCGTGGAAATAGGAGAGATTACGACAATTGGGCAAGACATGGTGCCATAGGTTGGGATTGGAAAAGTGTCTATCCTTATTTTCTAAAACTGGAAAACAATCGAGAATATTGCAATGGTAAATCTTTCTTCAATTGTGCTAAATTATGTTTATAAATCGTATAGCGATTTAATGACAATAATGTACAATACAGTATATCACGGTGTTGGTGGAAACGTTATCGTGCAGACACCACCTTTCCATGCACCAATAACGAAAGGTTATTTAGAAGCAGCCATAGAAATTGGATATACTCTTGGAGACTTTAATGCAAAGAATCAAACAGGTACAGCATTTCGTAATAAATACTGTTTGAAATATTTTATTGTATTTTTAGTTTTATATTTAAATATTGCCACTTTTGAAGTGTAAAAATCGAAAGCGTACATACAATAGAAATTTGTAAGATTTTATTCGTAGAAGAAATAAAATAATTTTCCGAAAAAAATAAAATATCTATTCGATAGAAGTAACGTCTATTGTATTTTCAAAATGTTGGCTATATTATTAAATTTGACGAAGATTCTGAAATAGGAGGCATTATATGCCTTATTTTAATTCATATTTACAAAATTTATGACATAAAAAATGTTTCAGTGTTTCAACCTCCTCAAGGAACTGTTAATAGAGGAGCACGCTGGAGTGCGGTTAAAGCATATATTAATCCTGCACGAGGTCGAAGAAATCTTTGGATCTTAACTTCAGCATTTGTTCACAAGGTAACTTACATTATCTTACACTATGGTTTAAAGGAGAGTGAATAGGTGTTTATATTTATAGATATTGATCCGNATTTATATTATTCTATTACTATATGATTATACGCCGGCTATTTATTTATTGCAGTTGGCGCAGGAACAGCAGGATCAGTTTTAGCCAATAGACTTTCCGAACCACCGCATATTACAGTTCTTGTGTTAGAAGCAGGAGATGTGGCTCCTGTAAACTCTGAGGTTCCACTATATCCTCTAAATTTAGCTCTAACAAATTACAGTTGGCAATTTAAAAGTGTACCCAGTAAAACCATAGCTCAAGGTCTTAAAAACAGAGTAAGTAATTATTAATAATAAATTTCCATGGGTGCATTTACACCTGAATACTGATTCAAATTTATTCTCTTCCAGCAACTGTTAACTGTGGAAGGTAAAGCGCTTGGTGGAACCACAGTTTTAAATTATAATTTGTTTGTGCGTGGAAATAGGAGAGATTACGACAATTGGGCAAGACATGGTGCCATAGGTTGGGATTGGAAAAGTGTCTATCCTTATTTTCTAAAACTGGAAAACAATCGAGAATAT